CATGGGGACAACACGAAGCTATGTGAACTAGTTGTCTTTTAATTATTAGGAGATGTACCATTATTTCATTTTCATCAATCTGGAGCCTTCCATTAATAGTTAAGTTATATTATTAATCGTTTTTTTTATTTTTTCGAGAGGGGGGTGGGGGGTGGAGGAACACATTTTAAAGTTTTTTAAAAATATTATTAATAGTAATAATAATTCAGTCCAAAGGTGTTTAGTAAATGCTTTATATCTGCTTGCCTATAGGATGACTAAGAGTGTATCCTAGGTGATAAATAAGGAAAGAAAAAGATGATAAAAATGGCACATTTTCATTTGTCTGAGTAGTTTCACAGGGGGAACCAAAGCTACCAGTTTTTAGCAGGTAAATGGAGCTTACTGAGGTTTTAATAAATGATTCATGCTTATAGGAGCTTACTAAGCTGATAAGAGCTTATTGAGCTGGTAGAATAGATGAGATTTATGTTAGAGAGTTAAAATGGCAGATAAAGCAAAATAACTGTTAAACATTTTGCTACTTGGATGTGTCATAGGCTGCGCAAAAAAAATATCCTGCTGATCCACAACATTGTTAGAGACAACCTATTGGGTAACACAGTAAAGATCCTCATACTGGTTGCAAGAGAACAACTTTTTAAACTATAAATAATAATTTTTAGGAAACTTTCAATTTTGACAAAAAAATTGCACTTTTTTTTGAAAAATGAAAACTTGCAGCTATCACTTTTACTCTAACAAAAAGCATTTTTTTGGTAAATTTAGCCTACTTGAACTTCTTTTGGAAAATTACGAGGTAATTTTTTTTTTAGGACACTCTACTGAAAATGACATAATTTAAAGCCATACATTACCGATATGACTTGTGTCAGAGGAAGCTCAAGAAGCTAGAAATAAAGACTTTTAATCTTATCGCAAAACTTCAGCCGATAAAAATCCAGAAGAGAAACAAATACTGATCTGATAAAATCCTGGTTTCCAGGAGTCTATTGATTGGATTAGTATTTGTTCTAATTATTATTTGTACGATTTTATTGTATTGTTCTCAGTTTAGTATTTGAACAATTTTATTGTTCAATAAATTTTAGATGTAATTCAGATTGACAATGTTTTCTTGCACTATAGTTTGACTTCATTAATGCTTAATCATTAACTAAATATTAATAGTTATTTAATAATGGGTCAAAAATCTAAAAATCTTTGTTCAAAAATTAATTTACCCCTTTGTAAGTAAGGAAATGATCTAATAATTAGGCATAATAAGTATTTAGAGAAACAAATTTTAAGAAAAAAATTGAACTTTTAATAGAAACGCGATCTGATATTGGTACTCATGCCAAATTTAGTAAATATAGCACTCGCAAAATATCCGCAAATACCACAAATAGATTGTTGCTAAATATAAATAGATTGTTGCTAAGCACAAAAAGATTGTTGCTAAGCAAAAAGATAATCATAAGAACAAAATGAAAAAACCTTTTTAAAAAGCTAAGACTATATGTTAGTACTATTGCTAGTTTTAGTGAATATAGCCCTAATATTAATTTAGATATGAATATTGCCAAGTATAAGTGAATTCTTGCTATAACTAAATTGATTTCGAAATGTAAACACAGTGTTAAGAAACTCACAGGCTCTGGTGACGGTATATACATAGCAGAAATAAAATTAGGGTTCCAACGAGACCATAAAATTTATTAATTTATTTTATTTTTTTATTTATTTATCATTTATTTGTCATTAAAAAAAAGAATACAATGCCGTGTTATAAAAATAAAATCTACATGACCGGGGCTAAAAGAAGACAATATTTGCCTTATCACTACACTCCGACGTGCTTTCATCAGCAAGCATGTTTAACCATTAAAATGTAAACATAAAGCATAAAATTACTTTGTACCATTTAAAAATTATATACGAATATATACAAGTATGTTAAGATCAGTTACTAATCTATAATCAAAAGAAAACTGTAAAAAAAAAAAAAAAAAAGCAATCATACCTAAAGACTAATGATAATTTAATAGGATAATTTAAATAAAATTTAAATTGGTTAGACTAATTAATAAGATAGTTGTTAAAAAAGAAGACAAAAAAATCTTAAAAAAAATTTAATTCATTAACATCGTAAAGAAGTTAATGAATTAAATTCTTAAATTCTTTTGTTTGAGTTTTTGTTTAAATGGAGAAAGTAAAGAACAAAACTTTCAGCTGGGTATTTAATAAAGTGTTTCATAATTTAGGACCTCTATATGGCATTAGACAATTTAGTAAAAAAAATAGCTTATTTTAGGTTGCTCGTAACTGCTATTTGAAAATCTTGTAGGGTATATGTGATTAATTTTATTGAAAAGTGTATTAAAAATTAAATATAAGAATTTGACGAAGGTTTAACTGAAGAACGTTAAATATGTGATGATTTTTAAATAGTTTCTTAGAATGTGCGAATCGACAAAAAATAAAACACGCTCCAATACTTCTCAACCTCGACGATAGCGTCAAAGTAAACGCAAACAGTCGAAGGCCTTTCTTTAAAAAGAGTTTTCCCAAAAATAATTAAATAATATTTGCCAGTTTAATAATTTCATCGTTATATAATCATTTTCGGCTTCTTTTTAATGTTTTCTTTGACGTTTTTACGTAGTATTTGTAAAGGTTTCTTTGTAATTTATACGTCTGAAGACGATCCGGGCAATAACAGGGAGCGATATTACAAAGAAAAATTTAGTTAGAACGCTGGTGGTGTTTATGTTTTATACTTTAAATATGCAAATTCACGCACAACAAGATATGACATTGAAACAGTTAAAATATAATAGGTAAAAATTTTAAAAACAAGGGCAAAATTAAGACTCAAAATGTGACGTCAAATATTTCGAAAACAATTTTTCACCTTTTTCACCAAGCGAACCCTAATATGACGTCAAATTGTTGTTTTGTTATAATTTGCAAACAAATTATATTCTTACCATTTCAACTTTGAAATTTGAAGCGATAGAAGCAATTTATAAATTGAAATCGTTATTAAAGTAGCTTTAAAAAATACCAGTTTATTTTGAAAAATATATTTTACAATTGAAAAAGTATATTTTAATAAAGTAAAAGATGTTTGAGACAAAAGGTAAATACGTTTTCATATTTTTTTTTTTTTTTTTGTTTGTTTATTTTGTTAAAAGGCATAAATAGTTCTTTATTTTTTTTTTTGTTAAACCTTTTTTAGTTTTTTTTAAGTAGGCATTTATAATCTCTTATAAATAGAGCAAAATTTAAAAATATTTGACTTTACAAACGACTCTATGTCATCAAATCAAAAGTAATCAAGCGACTCACCAGCGTTTTTATTACCATTAAGGGGCGAATCGAAAACACGCCATCCAAATTTACTTGTGACTAGAAGCAAGATTTCGTTTATAACTTCTCTATAAAGAAAACGAATTATTTTTGAACAACATCTATTTATATCTGGAATTACTGTGGTAGGCAAAATAAAAAAAAACAGAACAGTCAAAATATACTTCATCAAATATTAGAAATTTGTTAGCGCCCTAATACCCTTAAACACCTAAGAACTAAAAGATTTACTAAGATTAAATATTTTCAAGCAGATATTTTATGTAACCATATAAAGAAATTTATTTTATATAAGCCTATATAAAGATTATAGTTTACAGAATCATATAAACTATAATCAGAAGTAGTTTATATTAAACTTAGTTCTAAAAATTCTTAAAAAAAACTTAATAAAGTTTCTTTTTGTTTTACATTTATCATTTATAATAAACTTTTTACATTAATGTTAGCCGCCATGGTGTATTAGTTAGAGTTCTGGCTTAGAACAAAGAGGCCCGAGGTATTGAACGTTGGGCCTCTTCTCGGCCGACTTAGACTAAAAAAGCGACATTAGTAAAGAAGAACCACTAACTTTTTGGTTAAATGACCTTCCATCGCAGTGAAAGTTAACTCTTTAAGTTAAGCTAATAAACATTCGTAATAAATAATCGTAATAAATATTTGCCGAATTTATCTTTTCAATAATATTTAACATAATATGTTTGTTTTTATTTAGTCAAAAGAAAAAATTTAAATAAATTCAAAATACACATCGACTTTGATGAAAAAATCGAAGATTTTGAAATATTAAAATACTCCTTAGCTAAACAAGGTAAGATATTAAATCCCGTTATCTTTAAAAAAGAAATGCAAAAACTATTTCTAATATGTTGTTTGGAGCCCTGACACAAACAAAAGAGCAAACACACAGACTTTGTCTATGAGAAATGCAATAAAGTCATAAGACTGATTGTTTAACTGATAAGTATTTTGGACATTTCTGTTTCCCTTCGGTAGATATTAAACAATAATAAAACTGTTCCAAACAATTCATTAGTTTTTTAATCTCAGAATCAACAGTAAAAATCGATAGATTGAACAAAATATAATGTACTAAATTTTCTGTTCTTTTCATTTTTAGAGGCTCGTAAACAATATGTTTGTCCTTCATCAATAAGTGAAGCTATCGTATTTAAAGAAATGAATGACCTGCTTTATTCAAAAAACATTGAACTTGTTCAAACTACTTCGTATTTTGATTTCAACGAACTTTTTGATATGAAGCCGTTCAAAACAGAATTCAGGTATACAAGAGAAAGCAAAGAACATTTACTTGCTGAAAAAGTTTCTCAAATATGTATTCATAAAATAAAATGTGCAGCGTCTGAAATGCTACTCAAAACAGTAGCTGTTAATGAAAGAGCTTCTCTTCCACTTTTCCATTCTCTGGTTAACGTTCATCAAATGTCTATTTACGATATTCAAAAAAAAGGTACCTTAACTGCATTCCGTAACCAAATTTCTATAAAAACTGATGTCGGCAACAACTGTCACACAGGTAGGTTTCTTGACTTATATTAAAGTTCTTTGTTTATTTGAAACTTGGGTTTAAAAATGTAAAGCCTAAAAAACCCTATTCTTTATTTGCTGTATTTTTTTTGTTATAGAAAATAACACTTTAGAGAAATCCGCTTCTTCGCCGCACTTACCAACATTAAAAAGTACAAAAAGTAGAGCGTTATCTGAAGTTTGCGTGGAATCAAAAAACGTCGATGTTAGAGCATCGCTGCCGTTGATCAACAGTCTGTTGACTTTCAACGCTAATAATATGGTTTATGATCAGGATGTTTATAAGAAAAAATGCATCAAATCCTCGCATAGATTTTTTGTTCAAAATTTGTCATCAAACGTTAGTAAAATAGAGTGCGATGTTCTTATAGAAGATTATTTATTAACCACTCAAAGTTGTCTAACCGACTCAAGTTATTCTTTTTCGAAGAACACCGAAAAAAATAAAGATGACAGTAATTGTAAAACTTCACAAAAGAGAGGCATATTTACAAGAGTTTTTAGTTTTATGAAAAAAAAGTTTTTTAAATGTTATAAGTAATGTATACATTTATGTACTTAGCTTATGCAAATATTATAATATAAACAATTGTGTTGTTGTCGGCTGCATAAAACGCTGTAAAAGTTCCGAAATTTTAAGGACTCTCTAGGACCCTGTGAGGATTTTAAGGACTCTCTAGGGATCCTGTGAGGATTTTCGTCTAAAAAAGATTAGTTCTTTTACTCTCTCAACAATTTCTTCAACATTGCTGTTTGAGTGAAAATGCTTATTATTAAGTTCATATATCAATTTTGCATAAATTTTACCAGAATATTAACAATACAAAAAACAATTACAATTCTATAAAGTATGTTACAAAAAAACGAAGGAAAAAATTAGGCACGTAGTGGTGCATTTTAGAGATTGGTGGATGTTGCTGTTTGAGAGGCATCTCTTTCACTACTCCCTCTAGCGCTTTAAAGGCGTATTATCAGTGATCACATCGTAAAATGAAAATGTGCAAGGAAATTTATAGATGTAGTTTTTGAAAACATAACTTGAAAATATCACATAAGCGCGAATAAAATATATAAATGCAACATATACATATAGAGAGCAGAGAAAGTACCACACTATAAACAACCAGTTTTATAAATATTTGTTATGATTCACAGCTGAGTAGAAAGTTACTTGATCTAATCACTCGTTACAGAATTCTGTTTATCTATTTTATTATTGGCTTAATTTTTTAATGACGTGACAGGGAGCTAATAATTTTTGAAAGATATATATTATTAACTATAACAAACCGATGTGCTATAGTTTCCAGATTCGGAATAAATTGCACCGTTAGTGCCAAAAATCAAGTAGTGATAGAAATTATTTTTTTAGTCGTCAGCATTATTGATGGTGTCTCAAGTTTGATATATGTTTTGTTGAACTTATAAAATCAAGGGTGCATCAGTTTTCAAATAAGGAGAGTGCATAATCAAGGTGTGGTTATTGTTTATTTGGATAGTCAAAGCTTTTATCGACGTAAGTGAATGTCTTGGATAATTGCATGCTCAGTTGAGTTATTTTTCTTGAAACCAAACTGGTATAACCAAATCTCTACAATTTCATACAATGAAATTGTAGAGATTTCAAACCTACTGATTGAATAGGTTTGCTTCACTTGAAGTTAGATGTAAGAATAGTTCTAAAATGACGCTCTGTAGCAGGGTTTATTAGACTTTCATATATACACCATATTTGTATTGTAAAAGTAACTTGTAAGTAGGATTCTACAAGAAAGTAAATTATATAAATTCAGTCTTTTTTATTTTATTGAATTTTTGGTTTTTATCATATTTTGAATATTATATTTTGATTAAAAAATAGTTTGCTATAATATAGGTTATTATCATAGAGAATTCAAATATGGTCTTTCCGGTCTGCATGCACGCGTTTGTTTTTTTGAGATGAATTTGCACATTGCATTTAAAAAAACTCAAAGAAAATATTATCTCAGGATAGCTCAGTTGGTTAGAACGTCAAACAAAAAGTTAAAACCCGGACTGTTGTACGATATGGTTTCAAATCCTGTCACTGCCAACTCAGCGCTTGAGTAATACTACGTACGCTAAAATGTTGATCAATAATGGACGCTACTTAGGATTAGTATTAATGACTATTTTAGCTGATCCTAAGCTAAGCCAACAGTATCTTCGGAAAAAAAAGATTGTATAGAAAAATATAGCATGAAAATTTAAACAAATAAAAAAACAAATAAAATAAACAAAAGATACTTTTTCTTTGTGTTTTTTAAACACAATGGAAAAGATAAGGTATCTGAAACAAAAAAAAGGACTTAGACTAATTTATAAACTCAATTTGACTTGTTGTTAATTTTCCTAAAAATGATGGTTCTGGATCAAGCAACTATGGTAATACTTCAAGATGTGCTTTTGCAGCATATGAACAAAAAGCTGAAACTATCAAAAATGGTAACATTATCTTTAGGATACAAAATAGACTGCTTCAAATTTAATTATTTTTGTTTTGACAGTGTTAAACTATGTGTCTGATTATCGATGGTATTACTTAGCTCAATCTGTACAAAAAGTGTTGATACCTGGGGATTAGGGTGTACCTGGGCATAATATAATTCAAAGCTGTGCATTACCCATAGAAAATAAGTCAGAGGAAGCTAAAAAAGAGACAAACAAAGACTTCAAATCTTGTTGCAAAAATTTCAGCCAAAAAACATCCAGAAAAAAAAACAAATACTGATCTGATCAATAGGCTCCTGTTTTCTAGTGGTCGTGTTATTTCACGGCTGTTTAAATCACACCAAACAAATCATAAAACGTTAACTTCAGATGTTTTACAATTACTTAAAAAATCTTCAAACGATTTTATTGTTTGATAAATTTCGGTATTTTTCAGATTGATAATGTTTTCTTGCACTATAGCCTGTATTCATTATTGCTAAAATACTAATTAACTAATTATTTAAGAATTATTTGAAAACTTAATAGTTATTTTTAGTAATGGGTCGAAAATCCAATCAAATTTGATCAAAAACCAATTTATCAATTAATCGTCATTTAAGTATATATAGCAACAAAATAAAAGAAAAAAGTTTAACTTTTAAAAGAAACGCGGTCTCATATTGATACTTATGCATAAATATAGTGAATATAGCATTCGCAAATTATCTGTAAATACCACAAATAGATTGTAGCTAAGCAAAATGAAGATAACCATAGCAACAAAAATAAAATAATTAAACCTTTTAAAAAGCGCAGACATCATATTAGTACTCATGCTTATTTTAGTGAATATAGCCCTAATATTAATTTAGATATGAATGTTGCACGGTGTGAACTTTTGCAATAACAAGTCTAAAATAATTTGAAAATGTAAACACAATGTCAAAAAAATTGCATGCTCTAGTGAAAGTATATATATTAGGCAAATAAAATTAGGGGTTCTAACGAGATTAAGAAATAAAACGCGCTCCAATACTTCTCAACCGTGACAATGGCGTCAAAGTATCCGCAAACAGCCGAAGACCTTTCTTTAAATATCTTTGAGTTTATATTTACATTAGACAACAGCTCCGGAGAACACTTCTGCAAGACTATAACAGGTATACTGTTATAGTCTTGCAGAAGTGATCTCCGGAGCTACCGTCTATCCTTTCAAAACTATTCAACAAGTGCTTATCAGATTCTTGTTTTCCAGCCTCCTGGAAAGCAGCATCTGTTATCCCTATTTTCAAAAATTCTGGAGAGCAATCTGATTCATCTATCTACCACCCATTTGTCTTCTTCCTATCATAAGCAAGGTTTTTGAATCCTTAATTAATAAATACTTAATCTCTCATCTTGAATCTAATAACTTACTTTCTGATCATCAATATGAATTTCGATCTTTCCGTTCTACGGCTGATTTGCTTACAGTAATAAGCGAAAGGTTTTATCGCTCATTAAATAAAATTGGAGAGGTTAAGGCCATTGCTCTTGACATTTCTAAAGCATTTGATAAAGTTTGGCATGCTGGTCTTCTCCATAAGCTTTCTTCTTATGGTGTATCTGGAAACATCTATTAGATTCATGAATTCTTCCTTTCCATGCACTTTTCTTCTTATTCTGTAACCTCAGGGGTTTCTCAAGGTTCAATCCTTGGCCCAATACTGTTTTTAATTTATATTAAAGATCTTCCAGATATTCTCACATCTAAGGTGGCATTGTTCGCTGATGATACTACCATTTATTCTTGTCACGATAAGAAGCCAACTATCTCTGATTGGTTGCAGGGAGCATTTGAGCTTGAAAAGGATCTCACTTCTGCTACAGCATGGGGCTCACAGTGGCTGATAAACTTCAATTCAGATAAAACTCAATTTTTTACAGCCAATCATTTTCGCAATAGTTTAGACCTTCCTATATTTATGAACGGTAATGTACTCGATGAGTCATCTACCCTTCAAATTCTAGGATTAACTCTTACTTCTGATTTTTCTTGGAAACCGTATATCAAATCCGTTGCAAAATTAGCATCTGCTAAAGTTACATCTCTTTATCGAGCTCGACACTTTCTTACTCTGAATTCTATTCTCTATCTCTATAAATTTCAAATCCGGCCTTGTCACATCGTCGTAATGTTGCTTCTCTTTTTCTTATCAACAAATACTATAATGGGCACTGCTCTAAAGAGTTAGCGTCTCTTGTGCCATCTACTAAAATTCATTCTCGTGTTACTAGTCATTAGTCTCATCCTCTTTCTGTTACTGTTCCTAAGGGCTCCAAAACCTCTTAATAGTCTATTTTTTTTCCTTGAACATCAGTTCTTTGGAATTCGCTTCCTTCATATTGCTTTCCCGGTTCATATAATTTGCAATTTTTAAGTCGTCTGTCAATTGTTATTTTGCTCTACAATCTTCATCTTTTTTCTTCCAGTAACTTCCAACACTAGTTAGTGGTTGCTTGCAGTCTTTTTGGAAGCAAAGATAAATTAAAAAAAAAAAAAGGAAATTTTCAAAAAAAAAATTAAATATTATTTGATAGTTTTATTATTGCATCGTTATAATCATTTATGTCTTCTTTTTAATGTCTTTGAATTTTTTAAGTAGTAATTGTAAAAATTATTTTGAAATTTATACGTCTGGAGACGAATAATAGGAAGAGATATTACAAAGAAAAATTTAGTTAGAACGCTGGTGGTGTTTATGTTTTATACTTTAAATATGCTAATTCACGCACAACAAGATATGACGTTGACACAAAATTTTAAAAACAAGGAAGAAATTAAAGCTCAAAATATGACGTCAAATAATTCGGAAACAATTTTTCACCTTTTTCACCAAGCGAACCCTAATATGACGTCAAATTGTTGTTTTGTTATAACTTGCAAACAAATTATATTCTTACCATTTCAACTTTGAAATTTGAAACGATAGAAGCAATTTATAAATTGAAATCGTTTATAAAGTACCTTTAAAAAATACAAGTTTATTTAAAAAAATATATTTTACAATTGAAAAAGTATATTTTAATAAAGTAAAGATGTTTAAAACAAAAGGTAAATACATTTTCATATATATATATATATATATATATATA